TGATAGGTTTAGTAAAATGGCTCATTTTATTGCATGTTCTAAAACAAATGACGCAACACATATTGCTGATTTGTTCTTTAAAGAAGTGGTTCGTTTGCATGGGGTGCCTAAGACAATTGTTACTGATAGAGATGTTAAGTTCCTAAGTCATTTTTGGCGCACTTTATGGAATAAATTAGGAACCAAACTATTATTTTATACTGTTGCACATCCTCAAACGGATGGTCAAACTAAAGTAGTTAATAGGACACTCACTACTTTGTTGCATGCTATCATTCAAAAGAACTTAAGGCAGTGGGAGAAGTGTTTGCCACATATTGAGTTTGCATATAATATGACTATTCATTCTACTTCTTCATTTTCTCCTTTTGAAATTGATTATGGCTTTAATCCTTTAATACCTTTGGATATTTTACCTTTGCCTACTAATGAGCATGCTAATCTTGATGGTAAGAAAAAAGCAGACTTTGTGAAGGATTTACATGCCAGAGTTCGGGCCAACATTGAAAGGAAGAATGAGCAATATGCTAAGTAAGCCAATAAGGGGTGTTTGAAGGTTGTCTTCCAACCTAGAGATTGGGTTTGGGTGCACATGCATAAGGAGAGGTTTCCCACACAAAGGAAATCCAAATTGCAACCTCGAGGAGATGGACCTTTTCAAGTCTTGGAGCGGATCAATGATAATGCCTACAAGCTAGATTTGCCAAGCAACTATGGTAATGTTAGTGCAACTTTTAATGTTGCTGATTTATCTTTGTTTGATATAGGAGATTCGAGGACGAATCCTTTCGAAGAGGAGGGGAATAATGGAGATCGAGGTGCTGACCAAGTTGATGTTCCCAAATATTCTCAAGATCCTTTGCAAGGAATTGGCGGTCCAATGACTAGGGTAAAGACAAAGAGGATGAAAGAGGCTTTGCAAGGCTTGATCATGGAAGTGCAATATAAAGAGGTTGTACTAGAAGACTCTAAGACTAAATTCGAAGATTTCAAAGCTTCTTGTGTTCTTGATTGAATGCTTGAATCTCGACTTATCAAAGGGAGTAATCAACCTTTGTGACGTCTCAAGATTAGGGTTTTAAGGACTTAGTTTCCTTAGGATTCTAATTCGATCATCCTCAACACGTTCCTAGCAAACCAACTTGTTCCTACTCTATCATCATGGCCACCCGATAGATTTGGATTCAGCGAAGCAGCTACCTCTCAACGATATGGTTATTGTACAATCCAATCCTTTCATCATCAATTATCTCAATGAGACCGAAGCATAGAAATAGTGTCAACCTCGGTTACTCTCGATATGTATGTATTCAGTTACTGGATCAATGACCTGAATGATAATCTAGATAGAGCAACAACTCAATCCCACTGTGGCCACAGTTTTAGTGTCATTGTCATTTACTGAATTACGCCGTGAGATAACTTCCTCCCTTACCTGGGAGTGATGAATCCTCTGTCGATCCACAATAGTCTTCATACACTCTTTGATGCAGCTAATCACTACCGTATTGACAGCTCTAAATAGAATTGCGTTGGGCTAGTGTCAAACTATACCAATCGGTGCACAAGGCACTCCGATGATCTCAAGTCTAAGGATCACATGCACCACCATTCGTTCGAGGGTTTGTTCCATAGACACTAGGGTTACCATCCATATGGAAACCTCTGGTGGGTTAGTCCAGTGAACTTGCCTATAGCAAGCACCCATGTGTTACACCAGGTTGTCACCAAACAACCTTGACAAGTGAGATCAATCGCTGCCTTTTGACAGGGTCATTCAACACTATGATAGCCTTACCGTATTATCTGTGCCCTTACTTCAAAATAATACTGGGGCTACGAACATTTCTAGAATGGCCACCATATGTGCTCATAGGGTTCTCACTATCAAGATTTGAAGCACTTGATACCCTCGTCACGGTTCTACCATTCCAAGGACATATATCAATACATACAATGATGATTTATGTGATATAGAATAAAATACCTTTTTATTAATCAATGAACATTATTACAAAGAGTCAATTCTACAATAATTGATTGGTTCTAGGGCACTCACTCTAACAAAGACACTTAAATGAACAATTACAGGAACCATCGTGTTCATATTTTGCGTGAACAGTTATAAAAACCATCGTGTCCTTGGCCGTTTATTTGCAGAAAGTTACTGAACTCTCCAAAAATGACACTACCTTTATACTCTCTCCAAACTCTCTTCAGATACCTATCCTTTACTTCTCTCTTCTCTCACTCGGTGCTATCATCTCTCCCGCTAACCCAGGCAGCCTGGAATCTGAAAATCAAGCCAACGGCGGCAACAATAATGGTAATGCAGAAAGGTGATGGAGCAAAGTGAAGCGGAATGATTGAGAACAATTTAGAAGTAGGTGGAGTGTTTCTATGTTAAAAAAGATAATAATAGAGAAAAAATGACTAAGTGAGAGGAAGATTTGAAGTCTGAAGAAGAAATCAGTGGAGAATTTGAGAGAGATGAGTGCGGGACCTAACGGGGCTAAAATTTTAGGGCAATGTATATGGGGCTTTTGTTTTGCCTCTTGCCCTTTGAAAACTAAAAGTAAAAAGAAATTAAAAAACTGGGTTTTTTTATTTTTTAATAAAACTGGGTACCCGATTCTCTTAAAATAAATACCTGATACCCAAACCGAAAATTCGGGTATCGCATAATAATTACCCGAAACCGACCCGAATTTTCGGGTGCCTGAAAATTTGGGATCGATTCGGTTCGGTTAACGTGTTCGGTTCGGTTAACGGTTTTTTTTGCACACCCCTATGCACACTCACACAGAACATGCTTCACTTAAATTAGTATTAAAAGATTTTATGGGGCAATTTATACATAAACACTAACTTGATGCAACTATTTTGATGGTTTTAATGATTTAAATTCTAGAATTCTACTCCAATTATATAGAATTTATAAAGCATCACACTAAAGTTAGATTTCACAAATTTTGAAGTTCATTAAAATTTATCAAAACTTTCTCATGCAAGATATTGATCAAGAATTCATTTTCTTCAAGTTAGTACAATATATTTTATTATTATTATTATTATACATCATGGGAAGCGATAGCAAAACCATTAAACTGTTTACTAAATGTACTATTTTTCTGTCTTCAATATCTCCTTATGAGAGATAAGACATTTGACATTACCAAATCTAAAACTTAAACATTGAAAAGGAAGAAGAAGAAAAAGAATACAAAAAATAAAAGGAGGAAACACAAGAACTCAACACCTAAAGGACCTAAAGGGCCTAACTCATCACTAAATCTAAAACTTTACTACCCTTAAACTTCCTTTCTCTCTAACCCTTTTTTTCAGTTGTCTCACTACAGTCCTCTTCTCTTCTCTTCTACTAGCTAAAATATTGGTGGTCTATGGCTCCTAATTCCACCCATTCCATCCCTGTACAAAATCAAATGAATGAAGAAATGAAATAACAGTAAGAAAATAGCATATTAAGACTAGAAAAATAGTTGGAAGTAAAGGAGAAATATTCCAAACTAGGAATATTGCTCTCCGCGTCAGCCTATATGGTGTGTTGTCGTAGGCAACCAAGATTAAAAATCTTTCTAACCTAACTACTGAACTATAAATAGGGTAAGCAAGGGTCGATCCCATGAAGAGTGTCTAGCCGAATTTTCGATGATGTGAATAAGGCTGGGGGGTTTTGAGTAAAACAGAAAACAATCTTAGCCAAAAACAAAAACAAAAACAATTCAATTCGAAATCAATTAATATAACGAAACTTGGTCTCCGTCAACATCCACCATCGGAATCTTACAACTGATCGTTGATGCAAACGTAAATCAATTCTTACTTTGAATATTCACCGTTGGAACTATTTTCCTATCTCTCCTTAATTGTAATTAATTAGGAAACAAGCGATCTTAATTAATCTTACCATTAAACAACCCTAGACAAGCGCTAAAGATTTAATCTAATGGCAACCTTAAGAATTAGAGAGATTGATGAAGCTAAACAACACAAACTCAAGCGGTTGTATTTAATTTAGTCGAGTGTTCCTCTTAAGATTACTAATTCCTGACGCAGCAAATTAATAACCCTAATTGCTTCACAAGTTAGAGGGATCAAACAATTATGGATTTGATATCTAACTTAGCAGTAGATTGTAACAAATAATAACCTAGTAGGCCTCCTAGCAATTAAATGAAACAATCATGAAAATAAGCATAGAAGAACATCCAATACTCAAAGCATAAAATAGAACACTAAAATAAAACGGATTAGATCTCACAGTTATTGATTCCGAGGCCTCCGTTTCCTTCGACCAAGTAATAAAAATTAGCCTCTCATGGCCATCACGAAATTTCCAAAGGAAAAGTTACAGAGAAGACTAGAGAGAGGCGTCTCTCCCCAAACCTAATCTAATCTCCTTAAAAAATATCCAGTTCCAGTATTTGAATTCCACTAAATCTCCTAAAAGAAATATTCTAATATCCTAAAATAACATTAATCCTAATTTGATTCTAATTAATTGAAAATAAGCTAAAGTCCTAAAATAAAATAGGAAAGTGGTGATTCTGAGCTGTAACTTGCGTGCCACATGTCTTCAAATCTTCCAATAATAAATTGCCGAATTGATTTGCGTGACAAGGCAAAATGTTCCAGAACGTCGGTAGTGTAGGTACGTCAACTTGAAGCCCGATTACAACCTTGATGTAGCGAGTATCTCTCCAAACTCAAAACATGAAAGTTGTAGATCTCTTTCTTAGTGTTCCACAGAATTTTGAATCATCTCAATTGGAGCTCGGATGAGAGAGTTATGCCCAGATTATGAAACAATGTTGAAACTGTCCAAATTCACTTAATTAGTTTCATTTTGCAATTAACGCCTCCATTTGCATCCTAAATCAAAATAGAATAATAATGAGTATATTTAGGCAGCAAATAAGTATAAAAGACTAGATATTAAGGGGGGTAAATATGACATTTTGCATTCTCATCACTATACCTCAAATGTACTCCAGTGCAAGGTTGTTGCTATTTGGAATCAACTCCTGAGAATTGGTTATCATTTTCTCAATCCCTGCCACTGTAGGCTTTTCACCACCCTTGCTTCTAGGGGTGAGTATGGGTAGCGGGTAGAACCGGAACCTGTGGGTAGAACCGGCACCGAAACCTACCCGAAACCGGCACTGTGCGGGTAGATTCTGGTTCCATTTTACTGGAACTGACACTGTGCGGTTTTGATTCCGGTTCTTATGTATGGAGGAACCAGAACCAAAACCTAGAAAAAGAACCTAAAACGGGTACCCAGTTTTGGAACCTGCTTGGAACCTGTAGCGAGTACCCGGTTTAGAACCTGTTTGGAACTTAGGCTGCAATGAAATATTTGTGAATAATGGGGGGTTTCCATTATTTTACATATAAAAAAAAATTAAAATAGAAAAAGTTAAATTTTTAAAATAACCTAATTAAATAAATATACAATTATACTTATTACATATAAACTACACCACATTAGAAACTTTAATATATTAATATTAAAGTTTTGATTAATTAAGTGTATAATTGGTATTAGGATCCAATTAAAAGTGTTTTAATGTTATTAAAAGAAATATTTTTGAATAAAATAGTATATTTAATTGAATAATAATATATTTAGTTATTTATTTCAATTATCAAGTTCTAAGTATATCTATAGTAAGTTAGCAATTAATTAATTATATATAATAAATTGATAAACATTAATAAATTTAATTACTAGTTAAATATCATACTTAATCAATTATAACATTATATTATAGTTAAATAATTACTTAATTGATTATAATTTTATAACATTACTTAATTGATTTATAATACAATTAATTATAGCATTACATTAATTGATTACTACTTAATTAATTGACTTATAACATTTAGTATATTATTTAATTAAATAATTAAAAATTTAATTAATTATAACATTACATTATAGATTTATAGTATGATTACTTAATCAATTATAACATTTCATTATAAACATTAGTATATTAATTAAATGATTAGAAATTTAATTAATTATAATATTACATTATAGATTTATAGTATAATTACTTAATTCATTATAATATTACATTATAGTATGTTCATATAATTAATTATAATATTACATAATTAAATGATTACTTAATTGATTATTACATTATATTATAAATATTAGTAATTTACTACATAAACATTAACACAATATTTAATTAAATTATTAGAAATTTAATTAATTATAACATATTAACATTACATTATAAATTTATGTACGATTACTTAATTAATTGTAACATTGCATATTTACATTATAAACAAATGATTACTTAATTAAATTATTACGTAATTACTTATTTCATTATAACATTACATTATAGTATGATCATATAATTAATTATAACATTACATAATTAAATGATTACTTAATTGATTATGACATTATATTATAAACATTAGTATATTAATTAAATGATTAGAAATTTAATTAATTATAATATTAAATTATAGATTTATAGTATAATTACTTAATTCATTATAACATTACATTATAGTATGATCACATAATTAATTATAACATTACATAATTAAATGATTACTTAATTGATTATTACATTATATTATAAATATTAGTAATTTACTACATAAACATTAACACAATATTTAATTAAATTATTAGAAATTTAATTAATTATAACATATTAACATTACATTATAAATTTATGTACGATTACTTAATTAATTGTAACATTGCATATTTACATTATAAACAAATGATTACTTAATTAAATTATTACGTAATTAATTATAACATTTTTACATTACATTATATTATGATCACTTAATTAATTATAACATTACATAATTAAATGATTACTTAATTAGTTATAAATTTATAATATTACATTATAAACATTAACAATTTACTATATTATTACATTACTTAATTAAATGATTAAAAATTTAATGAACTATAATATTACATTATAGATCTATAGTATGATTATTTAATCAATTATAACATTCTACTATAAACATTAGTACATTAATTAAATTATTAGAAATTTAATTAATTACAATATTAATTTATAGATTTATAGTATGATTACTTAATTCATTAAAACATTACATTATAGTATGATCACATAATTAATTATAACATTACATAATTAAATGATTACTTAATTAATAATGATATTATATTATAAATATTAGTAATTTACACAATACTTAATTAAATGATTAGAATTTTAATTAATTATAATATTACATTATAAATTTATAGTATGATTACTTAATTAATTATAACATTCTATTATAAACATTAGTACAATACTTAATTAAATGATTAGAAATTTAATTAATTATAATATTACATTATAGTTAAATAGTATATTACTTAATTATTTATAACATTACATAATTAAATGATTACTTAATTAATTATGACATTATATTATAAACATTAAACATTAGTAATTAATTAAATGATTAGAAATTTTATTGATTATAATATTTCATTATTGTTAAATAATTACTTAATTAATTATAACATTACATTATAGTATGATCACTTAATTATGTATAATATTACACAGTTAAATGATTACTTAATTAATTATAAATTTATAACATTACATTATAAACATTATTAATTTACTACATTAATCATTTAAAAATTCTAATTAATTGTAACATTACATTATAAACATTAGTACAATATTTAATAAAATAATTAGAAAATTAATTAATTATAATATTATATTATAAATGTATAGCATGATTACTTAATTAATTATAATTAAATAATTACTTAATTACTTAATTAATTACAACATTACTATATTACATTATAAAAATTAATCATTTATAACATTAAATTTACTATATTAGTATTGAGTAGTGAGAGAATCAAAGAAGTTGGTGACAGTTTCTAACTTTTTTTGGATAAGGTAAGTATGTAGTTTCATTAATTTAAATTAACGACTTCTAATTATATATAGTAAAACATTTCTATAGTCATAATGTTGGAACTAATTGACAGTTTCTAACTTTCTATATTGTTGTTTGTTTGAATGATTTTGGTGAAGTTATTTAACATGAATTGTGATAAATAATTGTTTGTGTTTTGGTTTTGATTGAGGAATTTTATGTGAATTGTGATGAATTGATTGAATTCAAATGTTGCCTAGAGATTAGAGGATTTATGAGTTACATTGGACACAAATGAATGAGTAATCAAAATTTGTTAGAGATGTATTTGTAAATTTTTAAGGTATTTTTGTCATTTTTTAAACTAATAAAGGGGTAATTGATTTTTTATAGGGTATCCGGGAAAGAAACCGGAACCTGCATTTTAGGTTCTGGTTCTTTGAATTTAAGAACATGTACAGTGCAGTTCCGGTTTCAATTCCTTTTTTGGGAACCTGCACTGTGCGATTCCGGTTCCTCCGAAAAATGTAAGATACCCGGAATTGCTCACCCTACTTGCTTCTCATTTCAAGAACCTTCTCGTGGGAATTGGAGTGCAAGGATGGAACAAATGCTGGGCTAGCTGCAGGCCTGTATTCGGGGAAGAGCCTGCCTGATTTGTAACGAACACCACATGCATTGCAAAGGGTCTTTGGTCCCAATGGTCCTGGCCTCCATTGTGGTGTCCTTGTTATCTCACAATGCATACATTTCCTAACTGCTTGAGTTGGTTGGTTTTTGTTATTCTTGGTAGAATCTTGGAGAGCTGTAAATTTGATCTTTTTCTTCTTATACTCGAGTTAAATTGCTTCAGTATACTGGCCACAAGGTGAGACCCAGCAAAATACTTAAAATCAGAGGGGACCTTAGGGGCAACAAAGGGCTGCTGCGCCTTAGTGACTGAGGAAGTCGGTGAGATAAGTTGAACTGGAGGGCAAGTAATAAAAGTTGCAGGGCAAAGACGCATGCTGCGAGCACGTCCTCCTCTTCCAGGGTCAAGCATTTCAGGGCTGCCCAACAATTACATGAACCATCTTGTTCATTTTTGCATGCACACTCACACAAATCATGGGTTCACTTATAATAGTGAGTGAATAAATTAAGGGGCAATTTATACTTAAAGACTAACTTGATGCAATTATTTTTATGGTTTTAATGATTTAGAATAATGAAATTATATAGAATTTATAAGCAATTACAATAAAGTTAGATTTCACTTTGTAGTTCATTAAAATTTATCAGAACATTCTTAGGCAAGATATTAATAAAGAAGCCATTGCAAAGCATTAAACTGTTCATTTAATGTACTACTTTTCTATCCTTAATAATACAAACTTTTTTCAAATTCGTAGTTTTAATTTGTTGAAGAAAACCCATAAAAAGATAAATAAATATTCATAATATTTTGTGACAAAAGGCCCTCAATATCAGCAAACATTGTCTAAATTCAAGTTATAAGAAAAGAAATTAAAAATTGATAAGAACAGACATGTAGTCAATCTTTCCGCCCTCTCTCTAGTTTTGGATTAAAACCCCGCTCCTGTTTCTAAAAATGACCAAGGATACCCTTAGAAGGCGTTTGGTTGGGGGTTAACTGAGATTGTTGGAGTTAAGTCATCTTATATTACTTGATTACTTGTTTGATTGTCAAATAATGTAAGATACCGATAATCTTCAAATACCAATAGTGGTTACTATTTGTAATATTGGAGGTAATCTAATTACCTCTATTTTTTTAGGTATTCTAAGATTACCAGGGTTATCTTTTTTGTTACAATTCTATCCCTTATTAATAAAATTTTAGGACAATAATGTCCTTATTTTTAAATTTATTTACATGAATATAACTTTTACCATTTTACCCCAATTAATTAACTTTTTGGACAAAATTACCCTTGAATTCAAAACAAATTGCAGCACACCCAAGTCACCACCCTTATCCACCTGCCGTCGCCTGCCGCCGACAACCACAGCTGCGGCCAGCCGCAGCTACCGCCAGAACGGCACACGGAAGGTCGAAAATGGCCGCCATGCGTCGATATGACCATTTTCGCCTAGATATATGACCGGAAATGGCCAGATCTGGCTGTCAACAACCAAATCGATGGCTGTTAACGGCCACGATCTATCACGTCTGGCCATTTCCGACCAGATCTCTAGCCAAAAATGGTCAGACGACGCACGGAGGCCATTTCCTGCCTTCTGTGCGCCGTTAGGTTGCCAAATGCCGACGGCCTGCAGTGGTTGCCGACGATCGGCAGTGGCTGGGTTGGTGGGGGGTGTTTTGTTGATTTTTCAAACTTTTATTATGGGGTTGTTTTTGCTAAGTTTTTAAATGTAGGGGGGGTTAATAATCCAAATAATAATCAATATTAAAAAATAATATAATAATAATATTTAATTTGAGGACAATTCAGTAATTTAAATAATATACCCGTCAATTTATTCCTCCTAACCAAACATATTAATATAACATACCCACCAATTAACCAAACACATTTTCCTAAAGATTCCCAGTAAACTTCAAGGTAATCTAACTTTCCAGTAATCCAACATTCCCTAAGCCAAACGTCCCCTTAAAGAATTCCCCTAAAGGAAGACAAATAACATTGGATATCTTCTACAATACTCATGATGGAGAGAACAGTGAGCATTACCTTCAGTTTAAACACCAGCCCTTATAATTTTGATGGTTCTACAATCTCACGCAGCTTGATTGTATTACATGGAAAATAATCAGGTAAACGGCATACCATGTTTATAATAACTTCTTCAAAAATGTCTCCTTACGGGAGAAAACACATGTGGTCAAGGTCCATTACCATCCTACGATATAACATGTTCTGTAATTTTATAGCATCTTTGGATTTGCCCACATTGAGAAACAAGAGTTAAAAAACTCAAAGCACAGCTGAAAATGACTCAAAATTCAACCTTTATAGAGCTTCAGACACCATTAGATGTTACAAGTAAAAATATTTACATATAAAATCTTTGGCTGCAATCACCACAAGGCATAATGAAAATCTATCTCCAAACAGGACAACTAATTGATATAAACATGCCAAAACAAATTTTCTCTCAAGCTTTTTAATCCCAATCATAACTAAAAGATCAAATAAAACGCTCCTGAAACACCAATAAGCCCAAACTTCAGGACTATTTAACACAACCCAACTCCAAAACAAATACTATTAACACAAATCAAGTACCCCTTTTTTTTGGTTAAGTTCAAGAAGTACACTTACTTGCCATTGATCCTTTCTATAACAGAAATAAGCCCTTGAGTGCCAAACTTCCCATCTCCATTCGCCACCATTGCCGAAAACATCTGCTTGCCCAATGCAGCACCAGGCAACACCGCCACTCGCCCATCCTCGCTCTCCTCCACTACATCCACACCCATCCCCATGTCCTTCACCATATACTCTGCAAAACCACCTGGCCTAAAGTCCTTCTCAATCATTCTCTGCCCAAACAACTCCATCACCATTGACCCCGCCGCGCCTCCCCTCACTGATTCTTTCCACTTCCTCACATCCAATCCCGCCTTCTCTGCAAACACCAGCCCTTCACTCAGCCCCATCAAGTTAGCTCCCACCACAATTTGATTAGCAATTTTGCAGCTTTGCCCGCACCCCGCCTCTCCCATATACGTATGTTTCCCCATTACTTCAAACAATCGCGATAACCACTCGACCACCCCGCCATCACCCGCCGCAAAGATAGCTAATTTTCCATCTCTTGCGCCAATGTCACCCCCGGAAACTGGGGCATCCACAGCCCAACAATCTTTATCACGAGCGGCTTTAAAGATTTCTCGAGCAAGAGTAGGATGGCTACTGGTAGTATCAACGAGTACAGCACCAGGATTTAGCCCGGAAAGAATACCGTTGTTCTCTAAGACAACTGATCGAACATCTTGTGGGTTTCCCACCATGGTGAAGACGACGTCGCTCGATCGAGCCAAGTCGTGGAGGGAGTTCACGAGAGTGGCGCCTTTGGATTGGAGAGGAAGGGCTTTTGACGGGTTTCGAGCGAAGATGGTGAGGCAGTAGCCGGCGGAGAGAAGGCGAGAGGCCATGGCTGCGCCCATCACGCCGATGCCGATCCAGCCGACGCGGGTCTTGGTGGGAGAAATGGGTTTTGGGTAGGGAGTTTCCATAGTGAGTTGATGAAGTTATCAAGTAGGTTCTTGGGCTGCTGGAGAATCAAAAATTGAAGGAAATTAAGTGGAGAAGTTGAAGATGAATTTGAAGACAAATACTTCAACCAAGGAAAGATTTTGAGCCAGAAATTCTGTAAAGATGATAATAAATATTAGAAAAAGATTTAGAAAAACTGAAGTCAATATGGTTCCCAATAAATCAAATCAGAAACTTGGAACCACATATATGCATATTTATTTCTACCAAAGAATTCATTGAAGGTTGCCATATGTAAGATTAGTGAGTTTGTAGGTGAAATGAGGGTTATTGTCCTAATTTAATGTCTGTCGGAGACTAAGGAGAAAATTTAACTGGGCAGACCTCCCAATTTACATTTTAAAATAAATGATCCTGAAAATATTTTTAAATTTTCTTTTTAATTTAGAAAAGTTGACGTGGCACCCTTAGGATTAATTAAATTTGTAAAACAGGTTAAACTGAAAAGATTTAAACATATTTAGGTAAAATCATAATTAACGAAAGTTTGTTTAAATTTTGAAATTTGAAAATGAGCCCCACCCTTCAAAATTGCTTGATCTAGCCATATACCTAAAAAACGACTGACGAACACATTTCATTTCTCTACGATTTCCGACGACGACAGTGCCTTAATTTCGGCAAATATTCTATCATAAAGCTTCCTTACACAAAACCATGGTTGACATTCACAAAGAGGGGGAAAACCCAATCCTACTCCGAATCCTAAACTCCGACAGTGCCAGTAGTTCAAAGGTTGTCGAAGAAGACGCTCCGGTGGATCATCTGATGTGTCAAGGTGGTCCAAAGGCAGAGGAGACAACGGCGGCACAAGAAAAGAGAGAAAAATAGGGAAATGGTTCTGAAAAGGAGGATGCTGGTGAGAATTCAGGCGAGGAGGAGGACGGCGGTGAAGAAAGGGTACGTTTTTTACTTCTTGTTTTGAATTTGATGAGAAATTTGATTGATTTGTGCGAATTTGGGGGATATGTAGTTGGTTTTATTGTTATGATGGTTGTGGCATTTTGTCGAGCAGTTGGCGAGCATGGGGAGAGTGGCTTTGTTTGGGTTCCAAAGGATGTGGGAAGGCAAGGGAGGCCGTAGGAAAGTTGTTTGTGGGAGGTTGGAGGGCTGGGGATGGCAGGAGGTGGCGGAATAGGGGGGTTGGAAGGCTGCCCTGCATATTGTAGGGCTGGCCATGCATAGCTGCACGTGCCAGCCCCTCTATTCTGCCACCTCTTGCCATCCTCAACCCTCTAATCTCATGGAACCTGCCACAACAGGCTCTATAGGGCTTGCATTGGCTTCCTCGGTCCTGTCGAGGCCAAAAACACCCACTCCCCGATGCCCTCGAAGGCCATATCCCCCAAATTGTCAACCTATTGGTTATTTTGGTCTCTTTTTTTCTGATATTTAGTTTATATCATTTGTGCAAATTTTGCAAAGCGTAAATTATAAAGACTATGGGATGGAGATTGTAAGCGATAAGGTACCGTACTTCCCCGTATGGGGGACAGTTAGGTCGAGCTGGCAAGTTTTTATGAGAATAATAAAGATTTTAAAGAAACAGAAGAATGTTATGGACCAATTTGAAGAGAGTTGCTTCGGTCATTTTGTGAACATCGAAGAAAATTGGAAAAAGGCTTTCTAGGGGTAGGGAATGCATTATATGTTGCTGCACTCAGTAAAAAGCCATAAAAAAAATGAATGTGGTTTGTAGTGGATGGGAAGCCACTACGATTTGGGATGATGGAATATGTCCTGATGACAAGCTTAAGATGTGGGGCATTTCCAGATGCGGAAGAGCAAGAGAGAATAAAGAAGAGTAGGGCAGCCGATAACTTGGCTAAAAAGGTTTTGGGGGGGAAGGCGTCTATTACAGGACGCCATTTAGAGGAGAGGCTAGGAGAAGTTGGGTTTACCTCTTTAAAAAGGTTCAAGATGTCCCTGGTATGGTTCGTTCATTCGATCCTAATGACTTCAGACTCAACGAAAGCCGTTAATACCGATTGGGTGAAGTTTGCAAGCAACATGAACTTCTTAATGCTTATCCGTGGGGACGGGTATCATTTCAGCTAACCATGGGCTGCCTACAAGGAAAAGACATGGTGTTAAAGCATCGCCAATCTGTTGAGAAGAATAGACTGAGCATGTACAATTTATTTGGCTTCCCATGGGCCATGCAATTGCAATTGCCATTTCCTAGGATGTTGTAGTGGCACATCGAAAAGTGTACCCATTGGGATTACGACAAAATAGACATGGAAATTCAAGCGGCTCGGGTAAGATTAAAGGATTAACCTTTTGAATATGCACTTGCTTTTAAATGAGGCTTAAATTTGATTGATTTTTTTTTCTTATTGCAAGGAGTTGTCCGTAGTAACATATGGAAAGAAGAAGAAAATGAAGAAAAAAATTGAGAAAGTCCACGAAAGTGGAGAAGCAAAAATGGAGGAGTTAAGGAGGTTGGTGGAGGAAGTGGGGAAGTGATAATGGAGGAGGATGAGGCGGGACGCGAAGGAAGTGGGGATATGCAAATGGAGGAAGTAGGCAAGCAAAAACGGAGGAATTAAATGTTAGGAAGCGATCAAGTCATGGCAGCGAAAAACAAAAATTATTTACAACATAGATTGTTCCTTAGAACCAAGATCAGGGCACAAATTTACAGTTTATACATTAAATAAGAATCTACAGAAAATTCAGTCTAGAGTTAAGAAATCATACGCACGTTTGGAGGCTCCTCCAACTTGTCTCTGAACGGACTTCGCTACCGACCCAAAAGTATGATCAAACCAATATAGTCCACACGAAGATAACCCTAAGGAACTAAAGAAGGATTTGCTAGATCCTCTTTAGCCTTAAGAACCAAGAAGGAATCAAATAATATTTGATTCAACCAAAAAGGCAAACTGGCGTGGGAAGAGAGAAAAAAGGGGCTGGAATTTTTTAGTCTAAATGATTGAATGAATTCATTATTTAATTCACAAAGTGTTGCACTTATATAGTGCACACTTGGCCCTATTTCATCATAGAATAGACTTGGACACCAACCTAAACGCCCCTTGTATCCAAACAGTCCCATTTAGATATTTTAATTTTAATTATCATTACCTCAATTAAATTAAATTAATATATATATAATATATTAACATTTAATAATAATAATAATTTATTTAAATATATGCAAACACATATTTAAACGTAATCAGACTTATTTAATTTTAATATCAAATTAAATAAAGGCTACAACCTCAGCAAATTTAATTGCACTGTGAGATTACCAAAATACCCTTTTGCCTAAAAAGACGAAAACGCCCTTATTATAACTGGTTCTTAAATTATCTTCTATGTGTGTGACTCGTAGGGTCCTTATCATACCGGTAGACATTAAAGGGGGTAAATATGATATTTTGCATTCTCATCAAATTCCCCCACACTTAGCTTTTGCACGTCCTCGGGCAAACTAATTCAAACAAACACTACACTCAAGTCATATCCAGAACACCATCATCTCAAGTCATATCAAGAACACCATCATGATGCATAAGCAACAATATTTAATCCATGCATATTCATACCTAACTTAGGCAGCAACAAAATAAAATAAAGTAGAGTTAATGACATTCATCTCTCTTCATCATTTTCCACAATTACTCTCAATCAGTCAATGCAAACAAGGAAACTAATCACAAGCAATTCATGTACAACTCATCTCTCAACTTTTTTTTCAACTGTTTCTCTTTACTACTACAAACTGGGTAGCAAACTAGGGATATATATATATATATATATTTTTTTTTTCTTTTTTAGAAAAAGAATGAGTGCATTTTATGCTCCATCTCATTTCATGGTTGTGTTTATGAGTGAGTGCGTTTTACGCTCCATCTCGACTCACCACATACCTTTCTTTTCTTTTTCCTATTTGCTTAAACCCAAATTTAGGACTAGCTTAAGAGAAACAATTTTTTTTTTCTTTGAAGGGTTGTTATACACTCCTCAATCATGCTTCGTCGCCAAGTCCACACAACTTCTCAAGACATATTGTTTCAAACTTCAAAGATTCAAATCTGATTAACTTTATTTTATGAAAGATTGCTAACATCCTAAGTCAAGGAATATGCTCATAACAAAGTCAAGTTACTATTTCATGCATTACTAGACGTTCAAAGACATGACTTAAAGCAAAAACCTTCCTAAAAACAAAAACTACTTTTTTTTTTTTTTCAACAACTTAAAACACAACCTAAATCCCCTCCCCCACACTTAAAACTGACATTGTCCCCAATGTAAGATGAAATGCAAAGAAAAGGAAAAATAACCAAAATTTAAAATGCGAGAATAAGAAAACAAACTCCCTTTGGGTTACCTCCCAAGCAGCGCCTTTGTTTATTGTCATTGGCTTGACTTAAGGCTTTTCTTCTTGCGATGCACTGAGTTTATTTGAGATGATCACCGATAACGTTCCTCCGTCTCCAAGGAACACATTCTTGAGGTAACTAGGGTGAGGCTTCAAATCTGGAATAGGGGCATGCAAAACAGAGGGTAAAAGCCTCTCATTAGAAATTGGTAATGCAATATAAGGAACGTTACCTGACTGCTATAACTTTGGAGAATCATTCAACGTTGCAACAGTTTCCTGCAAATCAGTACTCAAAGCTAACTCCTCATTCTCTTCCTCAAGATGCTTACTGATGGCAACTCCCATTCCATCTTCTCCATCAAGTTCAAAAACTTCCTGTGCTAAAGAATCAATAACCTCAATAGAATAAACAGGATTATTATCATCATCATCAGGATATTTCATGGCATCATAAATATTAAACTTAACAATTTTACCATCAAATTCCATGGTAAGTATGCCACTGTGAACATCTATCTTAGTCTTGGATGTTTTTAGGAAGGGTCTTCCTAACAAAATAGAAGCAGTTTGATCACTATTTACTATATCAAGCACATAGAAATCAGTAGGGAAAACTAAGTCATTAACTTGTACCAGAACA